AGTGTTTTAAAAACCAATGGACTAAACTTTTTTAGCGTTCGCCCAGATGCAATCACACCTGGTAAGTTAATCAGGGTTAACCTGTTGGCAGAGATCAGCACTCACAAGTCAAAACAGGCTCTCAGCAGTCTTGAAGGCAAAAGGTCCTCATTCAGTATCATCTTTAATTTAAGCTTTTTAACAGATAAACTATCTGCAGAAGTTTTACTAAGTCTCAGGGTGAGATGGGATTTGAGGACTTCTAATTCTAGGAGTGTTATCTTTAAACAATATTGCTAAGGAAAGAAAGTGATAAGTAATATGAATATATAATCTTCTTAATCCACTTTGCAGATGAAACACAAGTTAAAATTACTAGAAATAGGAAGACAGGAGGAAAGCAGAGTTGTAATTGCAACGTTTTACAAAACTGTTTGCTGGCAAATGTAAAAACTTAGGACTAAAGACAGAACACCTGCCCGAGATAAGGGTGTGGAGAGATGGAGACACAAAACACGTGGGTTTTTCTGAAAAATGTCCTTGTAACTCAATTGTACAGCCAACAGTGGCTTTCTTTACAGGAAACAGAGTGTAAGCAAGATAGAATAACTAAAAGTTACAGGTTGTATTAAAGCGAAAGAGAAGAGAGAAAACAAAGCTGCATGGTTCTCCTTGGGCAGAGCTTCTTTCAGGCAGCAGAAATACAGGGGCAAAGGAGGCTGTGGAAGCCAGGTAAGAAAAGGGACAGAATACCAGAAGAAATAATGAAAAGGAAAAAGTTGAGTGAAAAAAATTAAAGTTCTTATAGTAGAAATGACTATGAATAATAATTAGTAAATTCACCCAACTGGTGGTGTGTTGGGCAAATTTTAACGATGTTTAACAACATTGAGGAGCCTCAATGTGTAGTGGTTGCTGATTCCCATGTTATAGATATCCTCACCATGACGAAGTGTCATGTCGAACTCAGATTTGGGAAGAGATGTGCACAGTTGGCTCTTGCGAGCCAGTTCAATTCTGCTTCACTGAATCCAGGTTCACCTGTGTTCCTGTGAGCTGATAGACATCAAGCTTTATGCTTGTACATGTATCATTGAATCCTCTCTTCCCTCACAGGTATGTATTATTATCAAATATAGGTTTGGGTAGGTCACCTACATACAGAGACATAGAGAATCTAACACTGTACTCTCCAATATGGTAACTATTTTCCACATGGGCTGTTTACATTTGAACTTAAATTAATGAAAGCTACATAAAATTATTAATCAAACTCTTCAGTCACACATATTTCAAATGGCCACATTTAAAGAATAGATACCGTACTGGATAACACAAATATGGAATATTTTTCTCACTGCAGAAAGTTCTGTTGGATGGCTCTGGTTGAATGTCTTTTAACTTAAAATCTAGAGCCTGGACCTAATGGTCAAAGAAGATCAGATGTCTTAAAGAATAGAAAGTACTATATAAATATATAAGTTCTTATAACACATAGGAAATTTCACCTATTCTCCAGCAATAGAATTCTGTCCCAGTGTTTGGCTCAAAGATCTGGACTCCTATAATTGTGAGGAAGTAATTTGTATTAGAAGGGCCAAAGAGAATTTTGCAAAGTTCTTCTCTGAAGAAATTTAAGAAAAAGATGAGTTTCATCACCCAGTTTGCCTTTCTCCCTCTACAATAAATTCTCACACAGCAAGCAAAGTGATCTTTTTGAAACATAAATCTGAATCTGCCTCCTCTGTCTGAGGTTTAATAGGGTTTCTTATTAAACTTCAAATTAAATACAAATTCTTTACTTGCCTCTGCCTACAAGGCCAGTCTCATATTGTATCATTCTCTCTCTCCTCACTTTGCTTCACTTACATGGATTTCCTTCAATTCCATAAAATTTCCAAGGAATTAAAATTTTGTCCCAAAAGAGTCAGGACCTTATTCAGTAGAAGAAGAATGGAAACATAGTAGGTGCTCAATGGTTCTTATTATTGAAAGAGTTGAAACAGATGCTAGAAATATATAATTATATATATATATATATATTCCTTTTAGAAAAACACACATGTGCATTTAGACAGACTTTGTATATATATATGTGTGTGTGTGTGTATATATATACATATATAGAGAGATATATAAAAAATTGTTTTCCTCAGGAGAAAAAGCATAAATTGCATATTTTTTAAATTTCAGGAGGAAAAATAGAATAAAGCAATCAAGGTTGACAGTCATGATCTTTTTGCCCAAATCTCCCATCTATAACTTATGGGCACTATTTTGAATTATCTGAGGGTTAAGTATGTGTTGGAACTCAGTGGAACCGCTCAGTAATGTGCTAGTACATGCTTAACAACTAGGTCTGGGGTAGGGTTAAGGGGGCTGACTTGTAACGCTTGCCAATTTCCATGAGCCAAAAACTCCCACCATAGTCAATTTCAAGATACTATGCCACTGAATATAGAGGTGGGAAAAGACACACTCAATAACTTATTGCAGACCAGTTCCAGCACACCAGTGAATCCACTACCCACACGTATACATACGAAGACACAAACACACACTTCCATCCAGAGTGTCTTAAATCAGGGTTTCACATTTTGATCCATAGTTCATTTTCAACAAGTGCCACAGGTAAGTCCAGTGCACACAAAAGTGTGAGAACCTTTTCAGAGAGGTAGCAATACTACGAGCAGCTGGTAGACAGTTAGCCAGAGGAAAGACTTCCTATCAGAAATGGGAGCCAAAAGCTAAATGAGGATTCCTGAGGTAGGCAAGAAGGGCTGGGAACCAGTAGACATCAACACAACTTGTAGGATCCAAGGGACCACAGAGATAAATCTCATTTTACAAGGAGGCCCCATCCTGGAGAGGAGAAGCAAATCCTCTTTGACAACTAACCATTCCAGGGAAACCTCTTCTTGGGGATCCTTTTTTTCCAACTCTGCTCTTTCTTCAATGCTGAAATAGTGCCTTTTCATATTGCAGGTTGTCACTGACCCAGTGTGTGCCTGGAGCAACTTAGTATTGTACCTCTGGACCTACATTTCCTTCTAAAAGTGAAGTGAAGATGAGTATCTTTGCTTTTGATGCATCACAGAATGGTTGTGATAAGCTATTTTATATGAAAACTGTTTGAAAAGAACATAATGCTATGGTAATTTCAGAAGGCATTATTACCTGCTAAGAAGTGCTTAGATCTTAAATCCAATCAAACTTCAACCTCAGGACTCTCAGCCCTGTTGGCCTTTGGGACAACAGCTAAGAGTCCTGGCTTTCTGCCTGTTTATATATTAATGCATCAATAGGCATATACACTGTAGATGTGTACTCATCTACAGAGGATGATAGTTTACTTTGAATGCCAAAATTGAAGTCTCAGGGTGGTCTCCAGCCTCCTGGGATAACCTGAGTGATCAGAAGATAAACTACAGACAAAGTTTTGACTCTTGACCAAATCGAGACATTTCAGCTTTGGAAATATGCCCATCTACCCAGCATGTGTCAGAACAAAGGAATGGCAAATAGAAATAAGAAGGGCATGTGAAAGAGAATCTCACACCTGCACCCTGATTGAAACTGGAGAGCTTATTTTACTCACTAATTAAAAAATATGAATTGAGCATGAATACAGTTATTTTTGTCCTTGCCATACCAGGAAATTTGAGGACAGACCAAAGCTGTGCTAAGGGAATTTGCTGGCATTATCATATTTATTTTCTGTAACAACGCTGCAGGTGGTCCTCCAGAGTGCCAAATATTATAAAACTGGTTAACCTCCATCGATCATTTGCTGGTATTGGCCACTGGGATAGGTGCTTTATGAACACTTAATCTTCATAAATACCCTATGAGAGAATTATTCTCATGGTCCTCATTTAAAATATCAGGTAACTGAGGCTCACAGGGGTTAAGTAAGCTTATACAGTTGCAAGTGGAGGATGGAATTGGTGCTGAATCTGAAGTCTCTCTGACTCCAAAGCTAGCCCTCTTAAACCCTCCCTCAGGGAAATGTGGGCATTTTGAGTGTCCTGCATCATCTTTCTTGTCCTCTTGATTCAGAAATGCGAGCACAGATAGTGATTCAGAAAGTTGCCTCACAAACTTGGTTCCTGGATAGAATAAGCACAGGCAGAAGAAGACACTTTAGACATGTCTTCAGGGAGTAGGTTGGAATGATCTGTATAGCTTCTAAATTAGAAGAGTTTCCTTTCCTTGTGTGTCTATCCATGGAACCAAAAAGAAGATGGGGCATTGGCCTATGGAATCTACTCTGTGCAGGACCATGCTCACACTCTTACATGTGTGTGTCAGAGACAGGCTCTGCGGAAAGTCTTGGCATAGATAAATACATAAGGAAGCTGTTTCTGGAAACTCCAAAACTGACACAATGATTTAAGATTCTCAAATGAATTTCTGATGTCTATCTTTATGAGGCTGTTAGTACACTGTAAACATTACTTTTGATATAATCTCCCCTATACTGCAACTGGGTGATGGCTGAATCCTGAGTTACAATGAAAGCATTGTGCAATGTGGCGTGTGATCCATGAGATAATAGCAATGTTAACTGCTGTGTTCAGGCAGAGTGTAATTAATAAGTCAGGTAGGAAACAGGATCATGGCTTTTTTCTCAGGGGAAGACAGAACAGAATTTGACTCAAACCAACCATGAAGAAATGAACTAAATCAGAATATGTCCAAAAATTCATTCAACATTAATATGTCTGAGAAAAAGCTCAAGAAAATGAGCTGGTTTCTCTCCACCATATTTGTTCCATACAACAAGCATACTGATGTTTATTTGTTCACTTGATTGGTTTTTTTTTTCTTTTTTCTTTCACAGTTTTCATAAAAGTCTATTTCATTATTGGTGGGTAGCTCATTTAACAGTTGAAGACATTTAAATAATGTACGGGTGACTGCACGACTGCAGCACTGGTAACCAGATAGACAACGAACTCAACTAGAAACCAGCTAAGAAGGAACTGTCTATATATTGAAAACACATCTCTTGTTTAGCTCATCCTTTGTTTTGATCACCTTCTTGGAGGGAAAAAAAAGCCTGCTGGTCACACTGGAAATATATTAAGGCTAAGTCTTCTGATATCCATTCCCTCAGTTTTCTTTCAGCTGGACTAAGCCTCCAACTTCAGGGCAAGCCCAAGTTTGTGGCCTCCAGCATTAATGCTCTTCCCATCTGCCAGAGCAGACAGTGTAAGCTTCACACCAGGCCTCAGAGTCTGAGTGTAGCCCACTCCAATTAAACTAGAGTTGTTGACTTTTGCAGAAATGGATGCAGTGGGATCCAACTGATATTTAGCTGCAATGCCAAAGCGAGTGCAGTTGGTACCTGATGTCCAAGCAAGGTTTACTGAAGTGTCAAGATCTTCACATACTTTCTGATAAATTGAGCCTCCAAATTCTGTCCCATCATTCACATTAGTGGGTAGCTTGAAGTCCCCAGTCCTGTAGCCTACTGCAAATTTATTCCTTGTCAGCTTTGATTTGGCACTATCAAAGGTCACCTGGTATCCAGCAAGCCAACCCTCATAACCAAAGGCAGCTGAACCATGGATTGCAGGTCCAGCAAAATCAAAGTCAACATTGCACCCAAGGTTTATACATTCCCTCTTGTAAGAAGACTTGATCTTACCACTTTTCTTTCCTGTGTTTGGTGAAAAGGTGGTATCAAATGTCAGTTTCAAACCCTGACATATCTGGTCTTCAATTGCGATTTCTGTTCCCAGAGCGTTATCAGTGTTCCATTTCTCTGTGAAAGTCAGACGATACTCACACCATTTATATTTGGTCTCCAAGGTCCCGGTAACTTTACCAGTGTCTGTATTAGAGGAACCACACATTGAGAATTCCACGCCACTGCACGACTTTGTTTTTAAGTCCAGTTTCACCAACCCAAAACCAAATCCTTTGTTGAAAATATCTCTGGCAGCTTTGCCAAGGTCAGCATATGATGGAGGGATACAGATTGGCCGAGTGCAACTCTGTCCGTAGGTTGCCATGACGAGGCCGCGGGAAAAGGTGATCTAGTGGTCTCCTGAGGGGGAACTTTGCCACAGTTCGGCACGCTTTGGGTCGAGATGCGGCTGCTGTGACTGGATGGCGAAGTGAAGGAGACACCATTCTGCCAGCCGCAACCCTGTCCTCCCTGGTTTTTTTTTAATCAAATTTTTTATTGTATTTTTTCCATTACCATTTGTCCTTCTTATACCCCGGCCCCCACCCATCAATTACCACACTGTTGTTCAAGTCCATGAGTCCTCTTTCCTTTTTGCTCAACCCCTGAACCCCATAACCTTCCCCCCAGAACTGTCGGCATACTCTCTACCTATGACTTTCTCTCTATTTTGCTTGTTAGTTCAGTTGGTTCATTAGATTCCATATATGAGTGAATCATATGGTATTTGTCTTTCTCTGACTGGCTGACTGGCTTATTTCACTTAGTCTAATGTTCTCCAGGTCCATCCATGCTGTGGCAAAGCATAAGATTTTCTTCTTTTTTACAGCTGAGTAGTTTTCAGTAATTATTTCTTCAAATAGGTTCTCTTTTTTGTTATGTCAAAATCCATTATAAAATATTAAAAAGTTTAAATCCATTATAAAATCTCAGCCATTAAAACATGACACCAGCACAGAAGTAATCTAGCTTGATTGGTTTTTTTAAAACTGCTGGTTTCACCTCATCAAGGTTACTAAATTTCATCCAACAGAATTTGTTGTCAGATTGAGATCCTGAAGAGATTTGGAAGAAAGTGAGCTCATTAGACTCAAAGATGCCCTGTACATCTGCAAGTGCAGGTGTCAAGTTCCACATGGGGTGGACAAGAAATGAGTCTACTCAGCCCTAATAAAGGGTCCAAGAGTGGTGCAATGAGTTACGAGATACAAAAATGAACATGTGCCTCCTCAGGTCCCATGGCATCTTGGCCAGAGACACCAAATGCTCATGCTTCAGCCTTTCAACAGCAGAAAGGGGGGCTGAGATAAGAGACATGATCATGATCTTGTCTTCCTCCATCTCATGTCTACAAACATTTCAATGAGAGAGAACCCTTATAGATTCCTTACCTGAGTAGCCCAATCACTCAGGGCTTTGAAAACTGCACTTACTGTTAATCCCACCTCTGGTGTGAAATATCCATGCATTACTATGTAAGCCACTTAACCACCCTATATGTCTTATAGGACTCCTTTGTGAACTGGAAATATCAACCCTTGCATTAACTACCCTCATGGGTTATGTAAATAGGAAGAGTAAATAGGAGAGTGTTCTGAAACTCTGTGAACCCTGTAATTCAAAGTTTCATTATTACTTCCCTTAATACCAATACTATTTCAGTCTCTTCTCATCTCTACACTCAGCAGCTGTGGGAAATTAGCAGGTATAATGCAGGGCTCCGCACACACATGTTCTCAACCAGCACCCCGGCGCTACTGCAACCAGACAAGGGCCTGTTATATGTAAATCATAGGAAAACTTTACAAACTCGCATTTATTTTTTCAGTTCAATATTTTTTATAAGAGTTTTAGGCTCTCTCCTTCCTGGATCTTGACTGATGAATAACAAATGAGGTTTAGAATGGGACTATGTCCAATTAAATTCACCTCAGTTTTAAACTTTGTCATTCATAACCCCTCCAGTCGACCAGCCTCCAGTCCCTTGGAGTGCCAGCTACAACTTGACAATGGGGAAAAAATTTCAGTGAACTAACTTGCTGAAATTTGAGGTGGGAGAGGCTTAAAGTTTCCCCTCTGTAAGCAGCCTTAACCTTATAAAATCTTGCTGCTAAAATCTCCTTCCCCTTGCAATTAGATATGTGCTGTTCACCACATAGTGTTCTAAGAACGTCTTTGAGAGAAGACCTTTATCACCCAAATAAACTTGCTTTCTGGGATTCTAGGGAGTGCAAAGTGCTGGAATGTGCCTGGTGGGCTGGCTTAGAAATGAGGAGAAAACATTTGGCGAAGGGAAGGAAGGCAGAGCTGAACTTTTTAAGCTGAGGGGGTGAGGAGAAAGGGCCCGGGGTCCCTCCTGTCTGTGAGCTGTCAGTGCACTGCAGGCCTGCTCGCAGGCCAAGTAGGGTTGAAAAGCTCTAATTAGATTAGTGATGTTTTGCTAGAAGGCAGAAAGCTTAAAACATTAACTTTTTAAACAAGTACATCAGTTCTGAGTAAACATTATTCTTTTTAGTCGTATGGTCTGAGTCAGCCTATTTCCAGGACGGTGGTAATGCATGCGTTTGATTCCTGAATGTAAATATGCTTTCAATTTTACTATGCAAATCCCTGGATTTTAGAATGCTTCTCCAGGGCTTGCAACTAGCTATCTGCTGCTCTCTTCTCTCCTAACTGATGGGATCCTCCTTCTGCCAGGTACCATGGGACAGCTGGTGGCATCCCTTGGGAGTCTCACTGGAGTTCCCAGTTTCCTTGGCCCTCTGGGTTGAATGGCATTTTGTCGTTTAAAGGATGCAGCTCATATTTTTCACCAAATTGTTCAAATTAATCCAATTTTTTATATTCATATATACAGAGGTCCCAAATCTTCTTCTGAAAGTAACTATCAGAAGCAACAATCCAGCAAGATTTTTTAATGTACACCAATCTGAGTAGAATTGTAAGACTGTTATGGTGACCCTGTGGCATTGGTCAAGACCCAGTTTTCACATGTGTCTAATGTACAATAGATGTTGCATAATTATCTGGTTTGTTGTAAGGATTAACAAAGACAACATATAAAGGGGCTAGCTCAGTGACTAGCTTTGACATACATAATCCATATTAGTACCCTCTGGCCCCTTTCTTTCTGCTCCTTCATGCTTCAGGTGAGGGGCAAGAAACAGAGGTGAAATAGAAACGCTGAGTCCACTACCTCTCCTTCATGGGATAAGAACCTGTGGAACTATGTGGGACCTTAAATTTCCCCTTTCCAGCATCATTTCTTACTAACTCAAGCAAACCCACACCCAACATTACAGCCACACCCATCTATTTGGTCACAAATGTGCCTGTACTTCTATGCTTCCATGCATCTGGTTCCCTCTGTCCTCAACTTCCTTCCCATCTTTCTTCATATAGCACAAAGTCCTATACTTCCACAATACCCAATTCAATATCACGCCCCTGAAGTCTTCCCTGATTGTTTACTCCTATCACCAGCAGAGTTATTCACCACACACACATCCACACGCACACACACCCCTGCCCATGTTTTTCGCACAATGCAAGAGTCCTGGTTGAGTTTCTGTCTAATGCGGTGTTGTTGGGTATTCATTTTTCTCTGGGTCCCAGAAGACTATGGGTCCCTCAAAGGCAGGAATTTATAGTTGAATTCCTGGAACATAGCACAGTGCTCAGCACATATTCAACACTGAATAAATATGTACTGAGTGAATAAATGAATGAATGTCATGACTGGGTTGCTCTCTGAATGAAGGGTGGAAAGATCATGAAAGAAAATTCACCCAGTAAAATGGCCCCTCATGTGACAAAGCCTCTCCTCCAATAGACTGCAAATGCTTTCTGAGTGCTCAGCTTTAACTATTGTACCATGGAATGGAGTAATGTCCCAGGTATCACTTGTGAACCCCTCAACCATGGTGACTGCAGCTGCAGCCGTGGGTTCCACCACTGTTCCCACTGCTCGGTTTCATGCTCCATCCCCTCACCATCTCCTGCGGGGACAAACAAAAGCTGCCAGGCAGCAGTCCCAGAAGTGGTGGGAGTCGGGTAACTCATCCTAAGTAAGCTTCAGCTAGGAAAACAAAGAAGACAGAAGAAGATAGAGTGTTTTAGTCCCCACATCCTCACAGAAATGCATGCTGCTTCTCCTTGTGAGGGCAGAAGAGAGACCTGGGAGAAATGAATCGTTATTGGAAGTTCTGCCTCACTTTCATTATGGTGATCCCGCGAAGAGTATCCCACATGACACATGTCAACTGTCACTGAGCCACATGTAACAAAGCTAAGTTACAAACTAAAGGCACTTTGGAAATGTGAAAAATGCCTGAACTAGAGTTTTAAGCAATGGTGCATACAGATATCAGAAAAATTAGAATAGTGTCTTTCTCCTTTCCCTCCTTGCATCCTCACTCCATTCTTTTATCTTTCTCATCACCTCCTTTTGAATTGCAGCTATAGTGGGGAGATGGAATGGGGAGAGAATGAGTGTGAAGGAAGAATGTTTAGAGAAAAATAAGAGTTGTTCTCCAGGATCAGAGAACTGATTGTCTGGCCTGTGTTATGACTTTCTGAGGAACTAAAGGGATAACGGAAAATACAGGTGACTTTGATGACATCTATTGCAAAAAGTAAGCTCTGTCCCTCCAGAAATTCTCTTTAAGTCTGCATTAGCAATTATGCCTATAAGAATTAAACCAGCCCTTCCTAAACACATGTATATATTCAATCTATACTACATTGTTGAGATTAATGGTCTCATTTTTAAAAAAAGATTTACAAATGTGCTGAAGGTTATGATTTAATTTTTGATCTAGTTCATTGCTTTTTAACAGATTTTTACAAACTAATAATAACTTCATTTCATTTCAGTTGAGACGCTCATATAACATAGCCAATGTAGTATTTTACCATAGTAAAAACATTTTAAAAAGTTTATTCTTCACCCTAAGATATGTTTATTTATTTTAGAGAGAGAGAGAGAGGGAGAGAGAAGGGAAGAGAGAGACAGAGAGAGAGATAGTAAACCTATACCCTAAGTAAGTGCCCTGACCAGGAATCGAGCCCACAACTTTTTCCTATGCAGGATGATGCTCCAATCAACTGAGCCACCTGGTCAGGGCCATAGTAAAAACATTTTTAGAATCACCTGTTATCATCATTTCATAAATGAAAGTCTTATCACCAAGAATTAGGACAAATATATCCTCAGAAAGAACAAAAAAAAGAGATTCACCATACTTACCTTATCATAAGGTATTTATGCTGTGATACCATCCTTTACTGTCATAGGGTACCTATCTATGACATCACCCTTACTCTGTCATAGGGTACCTACCCTATGATACCATCCTTAT